CATTGTTGAAGTACGACCTCAAATGTTTAAAAATATGGTCCAGAAGTGACCAAATTGTCGAGATGGTCATATGCACAAAATTGTGCAAAATTGTCGAGATGGTCATATGCACAAAATTATATTTAAATGTTTTATGACAAGAAATTATCTAACAAATAAAATGTTCTGGCCATTTCATAATTTGGCATGTGTGTTTATTTAAATTTCAAATCAGCAAGCTCCTAAAAAGACATACTTCAATTAAAAAGCCAAATTTTTTATCAGTGATTTTAATACGGGCTATAGCCAAGACTAATAATAAAAGGTTTGATAAATAAGGAATACCCAATAAAAATCTCCAAAAAGTACCTTAAGTTTGGTATTTTAAATTTAGACTTCTTTCCAAATGTTATAGACGAATTTTGATCAAAATATAACAAAGCAGCATTTAAGTTCACAGGTGTTAATTTTTGACATTGGAAAGAATTCCATTTTCTTCGAGATTCAATATTCGAAGGTATATACAATATCCAAATCTGAACCGACATCGATAAAACTTAGCAGAGGTATTTCTGAGCTGGATATGATATCTGGTTCGACAAAACATCTGACGAAAACCTTGCCGAATATTTCGAGGATCACATATGTTAGAGGGATTGGGAGGGTCGTTTTAAATTCCAGACATTTCCACCAACAAACCTGATTAAACTCTTCAATGTACTGAAAATCAAGAAGTTAAGTTATGGATATTGAAAACATGAATCTATAATAAATGAAAAATCCTTTAAGTACAGAGTATTTGTAATTACCGGCTTTACCGAAATGTGGACCTACATGACTCATTATTAATATCTTTTTTAACTAATCCTTCCTTTTCGCATTGAAGAGTGATGTTTACAGTCAGACGGACATGGCTAAATCTATTTATAATTAAATTTTGATCAAGAATTTGTATAAGTTTTTGGTTTTGATAATACTATCATTTGCATCAAATCAGAGGGAAATATATGTGGAAATATATCCGAATCTGAAACGATCTCGATAAAACATGGTGAAGTTATTTATAATTTGTCCATGATATCTAGAACCGAAAATCATTGTTATTGTATTGGGTACATAACTGATTTTAGGGAACTTATATATAAACTCGAATGAAATATATGTATAGGGGAGCTTTATCTGAACCGATAATTGTTTCTTTTTGTATATTACAAACAAATGACATAATACCATGTTCCATGATGTGGTGTAGTGTATAAAAATACATCAATAGCAAAAAACTCAGGCTTAATTACATTGTTGTTGTTTTTATAAAGCCTATAAAATCTTTTTTAATATTTGCCAAATTTAGAACTATATTTCTTTTATTTCATAGTACTTGTGTGCAGATCAAAACTCGAAAAGAATTTCGGGTTCTCAGTCCAATAATTTTAAGGGCTCTATAAAGACTTGACAACATATAATATATCGATTTAAACATTTATAGAGAACAATGGATTCTTAGGATTTGAAGGTTTTTTTTTTAATTTTTATGTTTAAATTGTAAAAATATTTGAAGCAATTTTTTATGTATCTATGATACATTATTTACCTACAAGAAAGTTTGTTTGACCAGCAGTAAATTTGAAAATAACAGAACGCAAAAAAATCTAATCAAAAAAAAATTGTAGCTTTTAAGCACATTCCTCTGAAGTAATGGAATGTATAAATATTTTTAAATTCTCTTAATCGTTCTTTCTTTTGTTTTGTCAACGAATAAACAAAAAGGCAAAGTTTTGATAACACAAAGTGTGCACCCAACCCAACAATATAAAACAACCACAAAGCAGGTGACACCCATATAGAATATCGGTGTGTCTCCTTTCGGTGACCTCAATGGGCAAAAGTCTATAAAAGTCACTGCTTAATTTATGTGAAGACAACCGTTCCTCAAATGAAAATTAACCATTACTTTTTCAAGGATACCACAAATTCATTGGCCACGAAATGGAACACACCTCCGTATGAGGTTCAATGAATATGGATAACTTTTCAGTTTCATAGGGAATATCAATTGCGTGTCTCAGAAAATATTCATAAACATAGCATTTTATTGATGCATACACGCTTGGAATGCGAAAACGCTGTTCATCAACAAATGGGAAAACATCCACGCCTACTGTACTGCTTTCTTTGATTTAATGAATGGGAGCTATAAATATTTTAATTTGAAAATTTATTTACATATGGGCTTATATGGTACTATTAACGTTTGTTGTCATAAAATGGAAAAAATGCTCTAAAAAGCAAAAGGGTAATTAAAGGAAAGTTCTTAGGATCTGTTTCTGTATGAGGATATGAAACTGAAGCCGGAAGAAAATCACAATTAAAATTGAGTTGATTTTTTTAATTTTTAATTAAGCTAAATTCAAAATTCTGAACACACATACATAATTGTGTTTTTCTTCGGCATCCGTCTTACAAAAACAGGCCCTAAGTTTTGAGTTTTCCATTAGTATGTTTATACTATACAACACTATGTGTTGGGGGTATTATAAATTTGATTGGGCCAAAAATTATGTAACACCTTGAAATATTGGATTCCCTCATAGGAAAGTATATATGGATCTTTCTATCTCGCCGAGCTGAGTCGATCTAGCTATGTATGTCCGTCCGTCTGCTTGTACGTTCGCAATTATAGGCCGATTCTCACGAAATTGAAAATGGAGGTGCGGTTATGGTCAAATGATTTTTTTGGTTTTGGAGATGATCGCAAAATATTAAAGGGTTAAAGTGGAACAAAAACAGTACAATTTCCTGATTTTGCAGATGTTCTATATGTCGTAATTATAGACCAATCGAAGCGGAAGTTGGCATGGAGCTAGAGATTAGGGCTGAGCAGACGGCTTCCCATGTGTATGGTCATCGGGTAATATTTTGTGTGTGAAATAGACAATAGCATTTGTGTTAAATAAAAGTCAAGTTTTCAATTAAACCGCGAATATTGTTAATCCTGCCGAAATTCCCAATGGAAAAAAGGTCAATTCTGACCGTTACATAGATGCCGATCGTAAATATATCGGAAATATATACATAGAAATAAATACAGTGTGTATATACAGAAAAGGGAAGAAAAGGGATTTGACAAATTTTGTCAATTCAGAAGATATAAAAAAATGTATAGCCCGCCTATAACGGTACACCCGATATTCAGTATTTTGATGAATTTAGCGACATTACTTACCGGAATTGTTTAAATTTAGTATTTGAAGTTCGTAATAGAAACTACAGTATAAAGCAGAAAATGGGTCACTTAGGTCCACTTCATTTTATAGCCCCCATATAACGGTACCCCCGATATTCGGTATTCTGATGATTTTAGCGACATTATTTACCGGAATTGTTTCAAATTTAGTATTTGAAGTTTGTAATAGACACAATAGAATAAAACAGAAAATGGGCCAATAGGTCCACTTCCCCATATAACGGTACCCCCGATATTCAGTATTTTGATGATTTTAGCGACATTATTTACCGGAATTGCTTCAAATTTGGTATTTGAAGTTTGTAATAGACACTACAGCACAAAACAGAGAATAGGCCATGTAGGTCCACTTCTTCGTATAGCCCCCATATAACGGTACCTCCCGATATTGGGTATTCTGATGATTTTAGCGACATAATTTACCGGAATTGTTACAACTTTCGCATTTTACAACTCCCATGGTTCCTCCCTCTATTCGGAATTCTGATGATTTTAGCTACATTATAAACAGATTTTTTTCAAGTTTGGCATTTGAATATTGTAATAGCTTTTGACAAAAGTTGCCTATGTAGGTCCACGTCGTCGTACAGACCCTAATATACGGCTACATTCGGTATTTTTAAGATTTTAACAGATATTTAACTGATTTTATTTTCTTGAAAATTGCCAAATTTGTACAAACGAACTTACAGCTTCTTTACTTGTTTTGTTTACAAACTGCTGGACAACGAATGTTTTCTTATCGGAGAAAACCAAATTCGGAAGTTCACCACTTTCGGCCAAGCGAAGCATCTCTTTAGCTGTTTTGAGTCTATTTTCTTTCAGTTGCGGTGTAAGTTCTTGCACTTTTTGGAATTTCAATGGCTTTACTCCGAGTTCATTTTTCAATATTTGCCGAATGGAATATTGTGATATGTTCAGCTCACGAGCCACGAGATGTCGGGCTACGCTACCAGTGTCACGGTAACGAGCGATGGTATGAGTCACAAAAGATTTATTCACATTTAAATGCTGGAGTGCTCTAACGATAGCCATTAAGGTTTTCCAGAAATAGCATTACCACGATTGAATTTCATCAATAATAACTATTTTCTGGAAAATTCTCACTATTTTATGGTTTCGTCGTTGCCCATATATATATATTTAATATATTTTCGTATTTTTGTAGTCTTGAACATAATTTTTCAAACATTTAGTTTTTGAATTTGTTTTACATTTTTTCGGTCCTATACAAACCTACATGCAAACATTCAGAGGTCTTCCTCTTTCCGTTCGCTCGAAAGCTATGCTGGAATATATGGCAAATTTTAGTATTTTCACAGTTAAGAATTAGAACATAGGCTTACCCTAACGGTCTAGACCAAGTGTGATCCTTTCCCAAGTATTTTGTATATCAATATTTTATATATTTGTGTGCTGTCCGTTAAGGTCTCTGATACTATATACTTTACATACTTTTTAATATTTTTTGCCAGTTTGAATTCGACATTTCGTTGATAAATTAAGTCGCATCTTTGAACGTTGTTGTGTAAGCTATCTTACATTTGTTAAAGGTCCCTGTCCATCCCTAAGTTACCTTAGTATGAATTCTATTAGATTTTGGATATCCACTGGACAATTTCTATCAACATTTTAAATTATTGCAAATTCGAAATGAATACATCTTTTAAAATTATATTCAACCTTTGCACTACACACAAAAACCTGATGTTGGCAATTTCGATATAATATTTCCAATTATAACAGAAGAAAATACATTTTGTGTACACAAACTTACCTTAATTTAACTTTTTAACTTGAAAAGATCTGCAAAGAGAAAAGTAAAAGATAATTGAATAAAATTGCCTTGGGTCAACGCAAAAAAAAATTGTGTGTCATTTATTTTATCATAACAATACAAAATACTTGGGCGTATATTTTTCTGTCCATTGGCCAAGAACAACAACAAACAAAATTTACATAATTTATTGACTTTTCATCTTTAAAGATACAAAGTAGGCAAAAAGAAAATGATAACAAAAAATCCATCAAGTCTAAACAAATTTTCAAACTATGCCAAAGCGAACGAACGAAAGAACAAACCGAACCGAACCGTTAACAATTTATATTGAACCCTTTTCTTTTTTGGGGTATTTAGGATTTATTTCTTTTAAGAACCATGAAAAAATGTAAATTTATTTATCAAACTTTTCGGGGAATTTCAAGTAAATAAGTAAGTAAGAAAAAGATGCTTATAACGCCGTCAAAATAAATCCTATTATTGCATTCGTGTCCAAAAAGGGGAAAATCATTTAAATTTTAATCTTTAAAAAATGCTAACGTCAACCCTTACAAGTGGTTTTCGCATAAATGCATAAACATATAATCTTAAAAGGTCCAATACAAGAAACAAAAAAATGAAAATAAATCACTGCCCATAAACTTCAAAGTATTGAAAAAAAATCTAAAGGAAATATTTTACATTAAGCCAATATTTGATAAGATTTAAAAAAAGAACAATTTTTAAAATATGAGTTACATATTTAAATTTAATATTTATTATACCTTCCACCATAGTATGGAGGGTATATTAGGTATGTCATTCCCTTTGTAACACCTAGAAATGTACATTTTAGACCCCACTTCGACTTCTATGTCGATTTATCGATGTCCGTCCGTCTGTCGGTCTATCCGCCTGTCCGTCTGTGGAAATCACTCTAGCTTCCGAACGAAATGAAGTAGGTTGATAACATTTTATTCAAATATATACTACGTCTGCAGGACTTTTGGTATTGAAAATGGGTGATGTAGGTCTACGTTTTGGTATAGCCCCTATATAATGGTACTTCCTTTTTCGGTATTTTGGTGATTTAAGCGACATTATTCACCGGGATTGTTTCATATTTGGTATTTGAAGTTCGTAATGGGTGCTTCAGCCTATGACAGAAAATTATCTGTGCAAGTCCACGTCTTCGTATTGCCCCCATACAACGGTACCTCCCGATATTCGGTATTTTGATGATTTTGGCGACATTATTCACCGGGATTGTTTCATATTTGGTATTTGAAGTTCGTAATGGATAATGACAGAAAATTATCTGTGCAGGTCCACGTCTTCATATAAACCCCATACAACGGATCCTCCCTATATTCGGTATTTTGATGATTGTTTTTTCAAAATACGTATTTAGAGTTCGTAAGGGGAACTACAGTCTGTGACACAAAATGTTTTATGCAGATTCAGGTCTTCGTATAGGCCCTATATATCAGTACCTCCCTATATTCGGTATTTTGACGATTTTAGGTACAATACTCCCCGAAATTGTTTGAGATGTCGTATTTGAAGTTCGTAATGGAAGCTACAGCCTGTGACAGAAAATTTTCTATGCAGGCGCGGGTTTTCGTATAGCTTCTATATGATCTTCGTACATTCGCTATATACGGTATTTTGATGATTTTAGCTACTTTACTCACCGTTTATTTCAAGTTTCGAATTTGGATATGGTAATGGCTTTTGACAAACAAAGCCACGTCGTATAGACCCCAATATAATGGCTGTATTCGATATTTTTATATGATTTTTAACAGAATTTTTAACGAATTTTATTTTTTGAAAATGTACAAATTCGTTCCAAATGGTGGAGGGTATTCAAAGTTCGGACCGGCCGAACTTAGTGATTTTTAAATTGTTCTTGAATGAATACGTGATTTTCGATTTGGTCAATTTCTTTGAGTTTTTCTATACTTGAATCTACAATACTTGATCTAAAATTGGTCTACAATGAAATATAATCTGATTATCGCACATTCCATGACTGAAGATGGAAATTAACGATAATCGAATCCAATTATATAATAATCTACAATTTAATGATACCGTGTTTGCTTGGTTTGTCGAATTAATATGACTTAAGAGTAATGCTACAAAGTTCCAATTAGAATAAAAAATATGTAGTATGAGTATGCGTTATACTGTAATGTTGAGCCTCGATTACCGTAGATAGACATCGAGTAAGATTAAAATTTAGTTCCCATAAACATATATGTTCCATCCGATCTTTTAAGAAGCACTACAGCCATAAAAATCATAGCTGAAATTCCGCTTGACTCCTTTCCTTACCATACTGGGGTTCTATTGCATTGTAATTAGTTAGAGTTCCCGTATATAGTTTTGTTTGATTTAATAGTTACCTAATTAAGTAATCGATTTTCAATACCCTAAAATTGTCATTTTCTTCGATTTTTTAAATTTCATCAACTAAAAGCACAACGGATCATATTAGATTCTCAGAATGCATAAAACGGTTTCATAATTTATTTTCAATTTTATTACAGTACATTTCATTTCGCTTGCTTTGTGCTTTTTTGACACGCTGTTAGTGTAGAATTTTAAACAAAAAATAGAATTCCTAAGAAAGCGTTTTTATGGTGTTGCTCGGTTTCAATTATAAAAAATGTATTCAACAGAATTTGTCAACATTGAAAAACGTTTAAATTTACATATTTACAAGCAACCTATATTGAAATCTTATTTCAGACATTCGGCAAATAGAAATTGAGAAAAGTACATAAAACCTAAACAAATATCCTTTAGTGAGCTTCATCTGAAATTGTTCCTCTTTTTCCATGTTTTTATTTGATTTATGCATTAAGCCTTTAATTAAAATCCAAAATATTTTAATTGAGTGTCACCCATCCGGGTTGTACCAATGTCTCGTGAAGTCTTTTCGATGTATTTACTTAATTTTGGTTTGCAAATGTAATGACCGCAGCAATCAATTAAATTACAGACAATTGGAGCACAAATTATTCACAGTAGAAGCGTTTTAATTTCAATTCTTATTGACAAAAAATTTGGGGTTGAGTTTTTTGAAATAAATAAAAAATATGAAATAAATAAAATATGTATTTATTTCATATCAATCATTTTCATATTTATTTAATGTACGATAATACAAAATCGGAAGATATTATTACGGTGTTTCTTATTAAATTATCAACCCATAAGAAACAATAGGAATTTTTAATACAGATCACCTTTGGGTAAAGAAAACATTTTTATATTCAATTTTAACTATAAACACCAGTAATACCGCTTGGATAATGTTGTTTTTTTCAAAGAACCATTGAGGCCTTTGTATGGGGGCCAAATCTAAGCAGGAACTTCAATAGAAAATTTTATACTTCAAGTACTGTCATCTACCACATCTTCTTAAAACTAAATTTGAAACAATTTCGTAGTTAAATATGACTAGGATTATCAAAATACTGGATATCGGGTATCGTTACATGTATGCTATAGGAAAACGTGGACCTATATACACTATATTTCGCCACAGGAGCTAGAAACCATTATGACCTACAAATACAAATTTTTAGACAAGTACGCGGAAAAATGTGGCAAAATCATCAAAATATCGAATGTCGGGAGCTACAGTTATGTGGCGGCTATACCAAAACGTGAACCGATATCTCTCATTTTCAATACCAACCATACTACACACTATACAAATTGTGCTGCACAATTTTAAAACTCTAGAGGGTGAGACAAAAAAACTGCAACAAGTCAAATGCCATAATATTTATTTTGTTTTTTTATACCCTCCACCTTGGAAACGAGGTTGGTATTGAAAATGAGATATATCGGCCCACGTTCTGGTATAGTCCCCATATAACGGTACATCCCGATATTCGGTATTTTGATGATTTATGCCACATTTTTTCTCGAATTTGCCTGAAAATTGGTATTTGTAGGTCATAATGGGTTCTAGATCCGGTGGCGAAACATTGCATGAATGGGTCCATGATTTGACATAGCCCCCATATAACGGTACCTCCCGATATTCGGTAATTTGATGATTTTTGCCACATTTTTTTCACGTATTTGTCTGAAAATTTGTAGGTCATAATGGTTTCCAGCTCCGGTGGCGAAACATTGCATGAATGGGTCCATGAATTGATATAGCCCCCATATAACGGTACCTCCCGATATTCGGTATTTTGATGACTTTTACCACATTTTTTCACAGATTTGTCTAAAAATTGGTATTTGTGAGTCATAATGGGTCCTAGTTCGTTTAGCGAAACATTGTATGTATAGGTCCACGTTTTGGTATAGTCCCCATATACAGTACCTCCCAATATTCGGTATTTCGATGATTTTTGACACATTTTTTTACGAATTTCTCTGAAAATTTGGTAGTTGTAGATCATAATGGGTCCCAGTTCGTATGGCGAGTCACTGTAATTATAGGTCCACGGTTTGGTATAGCCCCCATATAACGGTACCTCCTGATATTCGGTAATTTTATGATTTTTGCCACATTTTTTTGACGTAATTGGTATTTGTAGGTCATAATGGGTTCTAGCTCCGGTGGCGAAACATTGCATGTATGTGTCCATGATTTGATGTAGCCCCCATATAACGGTACCTCCCGATATTCGGTATTTTGATGGTTTTTGCCACATTTCTTCACTGATTTGTCTAAAAATTGGTATTTGTGAGTCATAATGGGTCCTAGTTCGTGTGGCTAAACATTGTATGTATAGGTCCACGTTTTGGTTTAGTCCCCACATAACGGTACCTCCCAATATTCGGTATTTTGACGATTTTTGACACATTGTTTTACGAATTTCTCTGAAAATTTGGTATGATTATGATTTTTGCCACATTTTTTTCACGTATTTGTCTGGAAATTGGTATTTGTAGGTCATAATGGGTTCTAGCTTCGTTGGCGAAACCTTACATGTGTAGGTCCATGATTTGGTATATATAACGGTACCCTCCGATATTCGGTATTTTGATGGTTTTTGCCACATTTCTTCTA